AGGTATGCATGGGTCGCTTACTGCTGTATTTGCTCTCCGTCCTTCAGTTCTAATAGTAAACGCTAACAGATTCTCACTGACAGCTGATTTTCAGTGGATGTGGCACTTGTCACTTCCTCTGATCGTCACTGCACTGTGCAGCATATCCTCACACACACACACCTTAATGTTTAATGTTTCTAATAACAAACTATTTTTGTGTGTGTTCTTTTATATTTGACCCTCATTTAATGATTGTCATACACACCCCTTTTGTCAGTCTACAAATGTTATCCTGTGTCCTGGAAGGGGACAGTTTCAAAGACTGCAGCCACAGTATCTCACAGACACAAGTGCTGCAGTGGCCTAATAACTACAGCAGATACAAATAGAAAATGGTAGAAGAAGCTTTACCTCCTCAGCAGCTAACAACACGGAGAAACAGTAGCTGCTGAAGTAACTACAGAACGGTTATTGCATCTTAAGGCATCTGTGGTTTAGCAGGTAGAGCAGTCGTACACCACCTGGAAGGTTAGAGGTTTGATCCCCAGCTCATTGGGCAAGACACAGTTTCCCACGATGCGTCCATCAGAGTGTGAGTGTGTGGATGTTAGGTTAAAAAAGCGGTTGTATGAATAGGTGAATGAGGTTTGTAGTTTCCAGTGCATTTCCCATGTAAAATGTGTCTTTAGTGTGTTTTTATGAGGTGGTATTTGTGTATTTGCTTATTTAATAAGCACCTGCTCCACTGCAAACACGTTTCTCAGTGTTTCCTACCATGAAGAAATCAAACGTGCTATCAAAACTGCTGTTTGTTTTAGCACTATCACTGTCTTACATTTTCATCATCCCTCGGTTTCCTGTTGTTTTACCATCACTGTGGAGCTTCTGTGACAAAGTGCTTGATCACCCTACCAGCCACATGAGAGGACACAGTTTGTATCCGCTGTGCAGAGACTGTGGCCCACTTAACACAGCAGACTCTGCCTTCCTCTACCGCTGTCCTGCAATGTGTTTTCTGGTTCTCAATCCACCATCTCTCACTCTCTTTTTCTGTCTCTCAATTAATTTCTCTCATCAAGATGCTAAATTTGCTCCACTGCCGTCCCACCACAAGCTGCTGCAGCTCCTTCATTCTCGGTTAAATTCAGACGAATGAATCTTCCCTGCGCTGATTATCCGGAGATCATCTGGCAGAGCACTATTGCCGGCGGCAGTTTTTATATCTTATTGGGAAGCTGATTTAAAGCAGATTTCAGGGAGGATGGCTGGAATGCTGAGAGAAGCTGTTAGGGAGCATCGAATCTGAGAGAGAAAAGAGGAGGATGACAATAAGGACAGGATGCAATGAAAGCTGGCAGCACTTCTTTCGCACCTTCAAGAGAGATATTCTTTATACACTGAATTTAAAACATTTCGCATGCAGACGAGGGACGGTGAAGGGATTGTTAAGCAGGCAGCGACAGCAGTAAGAAGCCTTTTCCTGGAGCTCTGCCAGGCCACTGCGGGGCTGTGGATGTTCCAGCTTCCACAGCAGGGATGGTTTGGCCTTCAGCCACAGAAATGTAAACCGAACTGTCAGAGGTGAAATGCAATCTTCTCTCACCAGAGAGAGAAACGTTGATTCGTTTCAAAGAGTTGTTTGAAAATGATTCAGTGTGTCCTAGTAAATATTAATTCACCAGGCAAGCGGTCGAGCCTGCTTTTTGTTGTCGTTTGTATGAAAGTCAGAGGTGGAGCCGAATTTTTAAATCTGGTTCATTTAAGTTCACGCCGCCTCAGTAGGAATGGATCAAGGCTTTGTAAGTGCTCACTCATTTCTGAAGCCCAGCAAAAGGATGAAATGCTGCGGATATTTTGGCAGTTTTACTAGAATCTGTAATGTCACCTGAGCAGGGCTGACCGATGTCGAGATTTTGCTTAAAAACACAAATCCAAAGATATTTAGGAGTATCCAGTGAATCGTTGAATAGTTTTTAGAGTAAGCCAAACTAAGGGTGTTTTATTTTACTATAATGACGTCTTTCCCTAAAGATGCTTTAATCAATCTGGATAAAACTTGCTATATAAACTGCCTAGGGTACCAGGATTATCAGTATAAAGCTTTTAGGAATTATTATCTTCAGTGATGCTGTTTGTAAAATTGCTAAATTAATTTCAGTGCAGTGCAGTTCATATCTGAAAATAAGTGTTTATCAAACAGTGATGCCAAAAGTGCCTGTAATCAATTACTTTGTATTAATGAATATGTAGCTTGCAGAGAAGAACAATAAATACACCTTTTTATTATTATGAACAGCCTTTTTTGATATTTCACTGGCAAAAAGAGTTACATACCGCGATGTAATGGAGATCAAAAGAATAACAGGACAAATTAACATACATGTCTGTGTTTTAATGGATGAGCCAAATATATTATCCACATGGAAGACAAACTCTATTTAAGACATTATAGGCCATTTTAATAAAAATATAAATATACAAAATGAATGACCAATAATTTCAGCGTTTACAAAAGCAGGAGAAAAAACTTGTATCTTGATCCTGTATGCATCATTATAGCCCATCTGAAACATTTTCATGTCATTTTAACATAATTTATGGACTGGCATATTTGCTTGTCACATATTAAAGATTCCTGATGAAATGGCCCAAAAATTACATTTTCCAAACAAAATGGGAAAATTTTGCTTCCGATTCTTTTCAGTTGATGTGATCGTTGCTACACTCTTTTCAGAGTTGAATTTCATATCATACTGCAAAGCATAGTTTGAGCAGACTCTAAGCAGCTGCTGCAAGCCGGCTCTATAAGGAGCAAAGCAACTAAATCATCGGCATACAAATTATTAATAAGGCTCTCCCCCATCATGCATCCTGTATTCTGCTTGTTTAGTGTTTTAGAAAGATCATCCATATAAATTTGACGAGGAAAGGTTGTACTTCTTCCCCACTGGACATGCATAGTTTGATATGACTACTAATAATGCAAGATCCTTATCGGATATGAGGGGACTTAGTAAATAGTTAACTATGATTAACACGGTCAAACCCTTTGGTGCATCGAAGAAGCACATAAATGCACCATATATACACAGCATATATGCACAAATTAGTGCTTTATTTTTTAAAGCAAATTAATTGTCAATAGTTGTTTTATATTCTCAAAGCCTATCCCCAAAGATTCTTTCTAATATTTTTGACAGTATGCTATCCAGATAAATTGGGCTGTAGTTTCCTAAGGTGGATATTTGACCAGTTTTGTCCTTGACTACAGGCACCAATAGAACAGTTAACATGGAGTCAGGTAGGCTGCCATGCAATAACTATCCAGAAAAGCGAGTATGTGAGTAAAAGTGAGATTTTTCTGCTGGCAAACTCCTATTCCATCAGGACCGCATACTTTGTTTTTGCTCACTGCTGCTGCAAATTTATGCACAAGACTCATGTGTGTCTGTTTCAGTGAGGGAGGGTTAGAAAGTTTGAACCTCTAAATCCGCCCCTTTTGGCTACATCTTCTCACGGTGGCTTTGATTGCACAATCTCTAAATGCTTCATGACATTACTGGGCTTCTGAGACTGTTGCATCAGATGTGTTTCATGTGCGTTCACAATAAGACCCAAATCCAGCACACCAGGGACACAGGTGGGAGGTTGCAAAATATAACCAACTTAAATGAGCTCTCGAAATTAAGGAATAAAGAATTGAAGTCGCTGCAGGGGAGAAAATATGCAACAAAAATCCAGACTGGAAGATAAATGAACGCAGTGAAGTGCCAAGCCTACAGGAGGTGTGCAAGGTCAGGCAGGCATATTTATAAAGAGAGGGAAAGGCACAAGAAAAACAAAGGTAACTGAAAACATGTGCAAACAATCAGGCAATCACATGGTGGTGGGAAAAAGCCCAAGACAGGAGGAAATGTGAAAAGTATTTCCATGTGTCTCAATTCCCAGTTAAAATTTGAAAATTACAAAAAAGAAAGAATTATCGCGCTGTGTTTGGGATTTACTCTTCACTGTCTGTCTCCATGATCCCATTCAGAGGGCATCCCTTAAGTCATGCTCTGAATGGATTATCATCCTAAAATGGTGCAGTGTTTAAAACAACCACATACAGTTGGCTTCTTCTGAAATGGTTCCTTAAATAATCACAGTAAAATAAAAACTGATTATATCAGTGAGAGGCGATTTAATTCGCATATAATGAGGTGTAATTCTATTGCAGTCACTGTGCACCTATGGTACAGTGTTGCGTATCGGCGTGCACTGACTGCAGTCATCAGTAAATCATCTTCATGCATACTGTTGGTCGGCAAACGGCTTCAGGAAGGATTTTCCTCTCCATTCAGCCTTGGAGCTGTGGCGGTGAAGTTTCTGTTTCCTAGCAACCCCCTGTCCAGCACTTGTGTTTATTTCACACTGTTGCAAAGAAGCTGCGGACATCAGTCTCGGAAAGAAAGAGGGAATCTCTAGACGACATGTTACTCTGGAAGGGTTTCTGTTCCTGTCCCCTCGATTAGGATTGATGGAGCTAATCCAAATTATATTTTTTGTTAAATCAAACGACTAATACAGGGCAGAAAATCTGAAAACTCTGAATGCATCTCAGAGCCGTGTCATCACTCATAAAGACATTTTAGGGCGACTTTTTCCTCATCCCTGTCTGTGATGTAACTACTGATGACTGTTCAGGCTGCCCGGGTGTGAAAACACAGTGTCACTTTCCTTTCGTTAACGTCAGTTACAGGATCATTTGCTAGCGTCCCGTCAGCCACTTCTTCCTCCCTCAATCTGTGTCTCAAGAGAAAAAGAGTTACTCAATCAATAACTCTGACGATCCTGCTCCTAATCTTTTGTCTGAACTTCTGGCTTTTTCTCCCCTCTTTCCTTGTTTTCTTTAGGTCTGTCTACATCCATCCTTCTTCTCATTACTTGTCTTTCTTCTAGGGATGACGATTAGCTTGTGATTATGAACTGTAAGTGTATTACACATGTTTACTCTTCTGTTCCCCCTGTTTTTCCAGGTGGTGCGAGATCAAATCTCCCACTGTACAGTAAAGTTGCGTCAGACCACAGGCCTGATGGAGTACTGTTTGGAAGTCATCAAGGAAAATGACCCCAGTGGCTTCCTGCAGGTAAGATGGCCACAAGACGTCCTTTTTATTTTTACAAGCTACAGCTGAAACTTTTATTTACCAAGTTTCAAGCAATGAAGTCGAACTGGATGAAAGATTTCTTAAAACAAGGTGGTACAACACCTCCAGCTGACATCAAAAAGTAACTTCTCCGGCTATTACTGGAATTAAACTGTTGGAAAACTGATCCATAATTTCATTAGAAAGACGTAAATGATGGTTTGCCAAAGAAACCAAATATTTCCAAGCTCTGCTTTTTAGGGGAACAATTTTGCCTTATTAAAATCAAACCTTGCTTGACATCTGTTTAAAGGCAAAAAACCTTTGTTTCTTTCTAAAGCTGCCTCTAACTGAAGTTTTTGTTCTGATGGGGTGATGAGCAAATGCTGTGTCACACTTTATGACTGTATGTGACATCCACTCAAGCATTGCGCATTTGGTGACCTTTTTAAATTGATATCTTAATTATGTAGCAAGTGATTTTAACACCATTCTTCATTCTTCATTAGATCAGGAATGATCTCATTTTACGTCGTGGGCCACGTCTTTGATCTTAAGCGGATCGAACCAGAGAAACTCCCCTTTCTGTCAGTGTAAAGACATTTAACTACGCATTTAATACGAAATTCAAAATGCTGATGATAAAGAGAATGAAATAAAAGAAAGAATAAACTTTTCTGTCACTTAGATGTTTATCTATTATTTAATTACTTTAAGGTAGTATGAATAGCAAAGGCGAAGATCTTTATCAGGAGGAAAACCTGTAAACCTTTTCATAAGGTTTTCATTTATGGCTCCCTTCGTATGTTCCAAAGCCAGATTGGGGCCAAATTAGAGCCTTTGCCAGGTTGATTCTGGCCCCCGGGCCCTATGTTTGACACCCCTGAATTAGGAGACATATGGGAGAAAACATAGTTTACCTATTATAACTTTTGAATTCATATAATAACCCTTTTTTTTCTTTACATTTTAATGAGAAACTATCCAAGTTTGAAAACATTTTTTTGGAATACAACTAGAAACCTTTTAGACACTCGATGGAAAAGAAAAATCCCATTATTGCATTTATGGATCATTGCATCTTTATCTGCATTTCTTCATCTGAACGGAGGCTGAAATGTTCTGGCAGACTTATTATTAATGAGTAACAGGGAGAGATTTAGCGGTAGATTAATCTGTACTGTGTGTCTCACAGATCTCTGATGCTTTGATTCGGAGAGTCCACATGACAGAGAGTCAGTGGGGAAAGGGGACCCTAACCCCCAGGATGACCAGTGACTTTGACCTCACTCTGGACAGTGGACCTCTCCTGCAAACAATCCACCAGCTGGACTTTGTACAGATGAAAGGTACACAGACAGAGAGCCTGATACTTTTTTAAGAATCACTGTTTGCTCTACTTAAATGTGCAAAATTCTATCTAAAACTTTTACACCCTTACATTATAAGGCCCTCACTATGTGCCCTTTCATGCATATAAAAGTTGTTTTTGCTGTAATGCAGAGTTATATCCACTTGGGGAGTGAGTGTGTGTCTCTTCATACCTCTGTGGGCTGTAATCTGGCCTCGTTTGTCCCCTTCTTAGTCCCAGCAGCTCCCATGCTCCAGCTGGAGGAATGCTGCACTCAGAACAACAGCGCCACATTGTCATGGAAACAGCCACCACTCTCCACCATCGCCGTGGAAGGATACATCCTAGAGCTGGACGATGGAAACGGGGGGCCATTCAGGGTAGGTTTCCTTGTGCAGGTACTGTTTTGACCCTGCAGGCTGGAATTTATCTGTCTGTTTCAGCAGTAATTTTCTTTAAATGAGAACTTTTGTGATATTTACATTTAGATCCCAAAACAAAAAGTGAAAAACAAGACCAGCTAGAGTATAAATCACTTTTACGTGACATGCTTTCTTCTGTCTGGGCAAAGACTCCATCATTTGATACCAGGGAGGACACCAGCTCAGCCAGGGGAATGTGGCAGCAGTTTTTTGTAGCTGAAATCACTCAAGTTAATGTGTGACAGTTGTACAGAGCACGTCACGTGACGCAGCGTAACAAGGCGCTGAATGACACGGCGTCAGGAGGAAACATTTGTACCACCGCTAGGATGATCCTGTAGGAAGCGTGATCCGGCATCAAAGCAGTCGTCATACTCTCACAGAGGTTTAGCATGTAATCCATCCTATAAGATACTCCCCAAGCTTCTATTCACTGAAGCCCCTGCTTTGTTACGACAGCAACTTATACCTCCTGAGCCATTCCCTGGGTACAATGGCAAAGCATATCTGTGTCTGAATTCTAAACCTCCGTATAGTAGGCCTGTTGATTCTCGCAACAATCAATCTGGGAGGCTTCCTAAAAGTGATATTAACATACAGGATGCAGCGCCAAGGCAAGTACTTTATTAGTACTCGCGGAGTTGGAAACAAATGAGTCATGTTACTTGGTTTGCGGAATAAATGTGGTTTTATTTCAACATAGCCCTGAGGCTCACACTTTTAAAAACTTTGTAAGCAGGCAAGAAAGCTTTGTTTAATTAAAAACAGAAGAAGAAGAAGAGAGGGGAAAACAAAATCTTCTTCTTTAGTAGTATGAGTCTCCATTTAAAGAGAGCAAATTAAGAGAGATAAATATGCTCCTCATATCTTCCTCTATATATATTCTCCAATATGTAACCTAGGAAAATAAATGGGCGCTGCTTAATTAAAAACAAAACAAAATCCTTGATAAAAGTCAGTAAAAACTTCCAACTTCAGTATTTCGTTCACCGAATTCCTTCTGTGATTTAGGTGTTGCATTTGTTTAAGCAGTATATTTGTTTCTAAAAGGGGACTTGTCTGTTTAGAGGTGGGTGACATAGCCTGAAAACTATATCACGATATTCCAAGCAAATTATATTTCTGATGATAGATGATGAAGTTATTTGGGGCTGCCCCTTTATAAATATTTGTCATGAACCAGCTCGAGGTTCAGACAGTTAATGGCATTTAACAGAATATATATTTACTTAAATTAAACGGAAATATGCAGTGACTAAATCTTAAAAAGAAGCATAATTTAACCCAGAACCCAAGCGAAAACAACAACAAATGTTGAATATTAACACAAACACATAAAGAGGTGATAAAGCAGTCAGAGTGGGGAGGGGTAATGATGGCCTGCTCTTGCTTGCAGACATGTCTGGGCTTGTGTTGTTGGTATATCATTGATGTTGTCGCAGGACGCTGATGCCATTTAAATGTTTATACCAATGTTAACACGGACAGTGTGATATGGCACAGCCGTTCTCTTTACTATTACAGCTTTTGGATGACAAAAAATGTTTCTCACAGTTCTTTTTTTCTGTTCTTGGCCCTGTATGATGTCAGTGGGAGCATGTTTCCTAATATGGCTATATCCTGGGCACAACACTCTAGCTGTGAGCAGAGAAGCCCCTCCCACTTTCAAACCCTCTGTTTCAGACAGAGGCTGATGCCCAGATATAACATCAATAATGACTTTTTAAACTGTGAATCATGCAGAGCTGGGACATATGGAGTCGGAAATGAGTGTAATAGGTCTCCTTTAATAAAAAGAACACAAGCCAATAAAAAGCAGCCTGCAAATCCCCGAAGGCCAACCGCACACACACACACACACAAACATCTCATCTTCGATATTCTAGTCTGCACTTTCTGTCAGCATCCTCTCATTACTCCAAAAAAAGAAGCACTATGTCCATTATATTCATTATGGCAGCTGGTGCAGCATAATTAAAGTATTTCGCACACCCCCGGCAGCAGTAACTAGAGCTTTTAACTCAAAAAATATTGGACTTTTTCATCCCTGCTGTGCAGAGATCCCTCGCAGATTCTGACTGTGAAGCTGTTGCCTTGCTCAGTGGTTTGTAAGGAGACTGGAAATGGATAGCAGCTATTTCTTAACGTATCCGGTTTTGTTTTGTTTTTCAAACTTATGAAAAGCAGACACTTGCGTCCTAAATGCAGACTGTAAGCTAAAAGCAGCTGGTCGTAGTCGTTCACCCTTCAAGTTTTTTTCGTGTTCTGTAATTGTCTGTTTCTTAATTACAAGTGTGGAGTAACATGGTGAGCATTCGTATCCAATCTGCCAACTGATTCACAAACTGTATCTGCTAACTGCTAATTGGTAGGGAGCCATTGCCAAATTGTATTACAGCCTGGAGACTTTTTGAGTTAGCGTGTGATCGTCAACACAAACGCACGAAGACGAGAGTCGTGGCGAATGTTTTGCAGCGTCTGTGATGATTTGGTTTGGGGTTTGTGTGTGTGTGTGTGTGTGTGTGTTTTTAAATATTAATTTGCCATCTGGTCTGTGCGTCTCTATAATATAAACTAAAATCCTTGTATGCTGTACCTGCATCTGATGCAGCACTATGCCAAAAAATTCTGAGGGAAGTTTTCTCTTCCTCCTTTATTCTCTGATTCACTGAGTCACACCTACGCAGCTCCACGCCGAGCTTGGCGAGTTGTGTCCCCATGTCTATTTATACTCAAGTGTGGGCTGCCGTGCCCACGTTCAGTTGTACAAGCTCGCATTCTCTCTTATTACCCTCTCCACCAAATTCAAATGGGACACTCCTCCAGAAGAAATGGACTCTCTTTGGTGTCATAGTTACGCACTTGATGCATCTGCCAGCATAACAGGAAGCACTGTGTGTCTTTACAGGAAGTGTACGTGGGGACGGAGACCATCTGCACAGTGGACGGGCTCCACTTCAACAGCACGTACAAGTCCAGGGTGAAGGCCTTCAATGCCAGCGGAGTGGGCCAGTACAGCAAGACACTGATCATGCAGACCTCTGAGAGTACGTTGAGCCTCATCTCCTTCTTCCTCTTGTTTTCACTGTAAATCTAAATCACTGTGAATCCAGAAAGAGCAAAGACTCAAGTATGAATTGGTGTTTTGTTTTTTTTAAGAGCGCAGTGTATTGTATAGGTCAGACGATAAATAACGAGAAATTGCAACGTCTCCATTTAAACAGTTTGTCCACCAGAGAACATTGGCAATTAGGTTTTTATTATACACAATAAATAAAGATGGTCAAACCATCAGCACGTCCTTGCACAGTGGGACACTGAAGCGCTGCCATCTTTTATTGGTGATTTTAATTTCCAACCAGGTTGGGTGCACCACCGGTCGAGCAGCCTCTGGCTACAAATGCTCTTACTACTGTTCAGATACTTTTGCTTCACTTCCATGAAGATTTGGCCGTTTCCCCTTTATTTTAAGTCTGTCATTACCACGCTGTAAAATGTCCTGCTCAGTTTGTAGCTTGATCTTTAAAATAAACACCAAGATTGCTTGCTAGGCAAAATATCATTATTAAATCATAAATATCCATGTTGCAGGTAACGGGCTCGTATGCTGCCAGGTCAAAACGAGCTATACCAGCAGGTGGCAAGAGCAAAGAAACAAAGCAAAGAAAGCAAATGGAGCTGGGCAGGCGTGCAAAGGTGTCTGTAAGGCAGTAACAGGCAGGAGCCAAAAGCCAGTCGGTATAGCTACAAGGGGAGCTAATTAGGGGCATAATGAGCAGATGTGTGTTGGCAGTTAAAGAGGTGAGAAGCACGGCTGACAGAAAGAATACTGCTGATGTTCTTAATGATATAAGAACTGGTAGCTCCCATGACAAGTGGGGGAAATGAATTAGAGGAGGTTTATATTACAGCATTATAACATTTTTTTTTAAAAGGCTGGAAATTATGATGCTCTACAAACCACCAAGACTCATTCTTAGAGGCGAATATTTTCAGCATTTTTAACACCCACATGTTTGTCTTCATGTTTTTGTTCCTCAGGTGCTGCTGACCTCTTCACCAAATATGCCGACACTTTTCTTGCATGATCTTATCCTGTTGGCTGTATTTCCATTGATATTATTATAAGCTAAAATGTTACAGTGAATTATTTTCAAAGTGTTTTATATGTACATAAAAAAGGGTAGTTACCACTATGGTTGTAGTTAATGTGCAATGAAGAAGATCTGTGTGCTGGCAAACAGCTGGCAGGTGTTTCTAACAACATTTGTAATATAATCTAATGGCTTACTTACTTTTTTTTTTTACTGATTATCACAGTTCAGTTACATTTCTTTCTACATTTGGGAGTTTACACCAGAGAAATCTTGATTTAACTCCAAAAAATCTAAAGAAATCATAACCTGCTGCTGCTTGGTTAAACCCTTATATTTTCATTATTATGCTGTATTTACATTATATTATATATTAAGTCTGCAGAGAAAATCTGCTTTCTTTGATATTCTTCAGACTGAAGCAAGACTTTTTTGAGTTAGTTAGTTTCAAAGGGATTTGAAAGATCCGGAAAAAAGCCTCTGTTGTTTTATATTTCACGCAGTACAATAAATGATCACAGTAAAGGCTTCCAAAACACAAGATTTTCATCCAATGGGCAGCAGCAGGATGTGAATTCTGTTCGAGGGCGTGTTTTGCGCCTTTTAGCCCAGGGGCCTCGAGGAGCAGCTGGATTGTGTATAATCCACCCATGTGCCGGCTTTCCCATTAGTTAAATGGGGATCTGCATAGACGGGGAAGCTTGTCATCCATCAGTGGACCTGAAAGGCCCAGACAGCCTCCCTACCTGACACAGAAAGCACTCAGCAGCTGTTGGAGGCGTACAAAGTGATCTAACCACTCAGACGTTTTCAGTGTTGTTGCACCCTTCTTCCAGATCAGATTGTCCTTTTCTTATTTTTCTTATTCAGAACAACTGCTTTGTTTTCATTGTTCCTTCGTTGTTCCTTCTAAGTCTGCAGTGGTTTGTTTCTAGGAGCTCTTTTGTTTTCATTTTGGGGATCTCCTCTGGTCTTATGTCCACTGAGCTGAACCAGGATCCCTGATCAAATCTGCTTTTTACCCTCTCCACCGCCCTTCCCACCCCTCTGCTTCACTGCTTCGCTTTGCTCTCCTCCTCTTCCTCTTTTCTTTTCCCTCTTTTCTTCTTCACTCCCCCCACCATTTCACATTTTAGCTGGACTCCCTCCATGTGATATTCAGTCTATAGGCACAGGTATGGATGACTCTCCTTGCACACTGTTTCTGCTCTGATCCCCTTCAGGCCATTGCTTGTTTCATCAATGAGGTCTTCACACTCAATCCAGCAGGTGGGCAGTTTGCTCCTCTGTGGGCTGCACTTATTAAACGTGCAATACAAGCCTGTAATAAATGTCTTTGCTTTATTTCCTTCGGGAAATAAAGCAGTGTAATGGAACGTCGCTGCACACGGTGACACCAGTAAAAGCAGGTCCACTGGAGCCCAGCAAAAGCCCGCCTGTTTACCTTCCTGCATAGAGATCTGTTACTGTGTCTTTCAGCAGTGAGTCAAGCAGTATTGCAAATTTATCATTAGCATGTGGTTTAAGAAGTTTAAAAGCAATGTGTTGTAATAGAGAAAAGGAGCAGTTCACCTAAATACAATACAAATTTAACTTATGTAGACCAACACAGCAGAGTCTGCTCTGATAGTGGAGGTTATCAGATGGCTCAAGCAAGCTTGAGTTCACAGTCTAAATGAACATCCACACAGAGTCTTTAACCTTTCTTGTTTGGGTGAACTGACCTCTTACTATAATAACTATTAGAAGTTTCTAGTATGTATTTTAAAGTTAAGTTTTATTTTATTAACAATTTCCTTACCCATAATTATCAAACTAATCTACTTTTCCGTGCAGGAACCGGTTAAGATTTGCAGACTGTTTGACACAAGTTTGATTATCTAAAAGTGGTTTAGCTTATTAAGTTATAGATTAAGTTATGTAGTATAAGTATATAGTTTAGGTATTATTAATCGTGTTTGATCATAACAATGATAGTAAGTCTTCTTCTTGTCTTTCATATTATTACTGTTCCCTCCATTCAGATATTTTTACAGTGTAACTTCACCTCATCTAACCTTTACCTTCTGGTTTTATGTGGTGTTTGTAAAATCATGATCATTGCCTCTCATCTTGCAGTCGCTGATATTATTAACACTAAAAACCTAATGGTTGGCATTTCCCTTTGTGCAGTTGCTTGGTTCACCTTTGACCCGGCGTCCGCTCACCCTGACATCATCTTCTCCAACGACAACCTGACGGTGACGTGCAACAGCTATGATGACCGAGTGGTCTTGGGGAACACTGCTTTCTCTCGAGGTGTTCATTACTGGGAAATGACCGTTGACCGCTATGACAACCACCCTGACCCAGCCTTCGGCATCGCTCGGAGTGACGTCCTGAAGGATGTGATGCTAGGGAAGGATGACAAAGCCTGGGCCATGTATGTGGACAATAACCGCTCCTGGTTCATGAACAACAACTCACACACCAATAGGTAATAAAGACAGTGACAAGTGATTGTCCATATACTAATGCAGATGTAATTTCTTCGATCACAAATGGAAGTCTTCTGCTTTTAGATGTACAGTATAATAGTGTTTAGAAAAGGGACACCAGTTTTACTTATTAAGCTTGTTGCAGAGGCCTGGGTTTAAATCTGCCCCAAGCTTCCCTGTCAATTCTCAACTGTCCTGTCATAACACAGGATAAAAGGCCACTAAGTAAAATAAAGTTTACTTCTAGCATAAGATTACTGTAGGTGCAGGAAAATGCTTCACTTAAAAAAAAGATTCCTTTTTGCAAGAAGGAAATATTGTCCAGAGATTCTGGACAATATTGGCATGATAGCGTCACACTGTGTCTGCAGATTTGTCTTAAAGATGATCTGTTGGATTGAGATCTGGTGACTCTGAAGACTGTTTAAGTATGGTGAACTCTTCGCCGTGTTCAGATTGAGATGATTTGACGTTCTATGTTAACTTGCCAGAAGCAGCCATCATTAGATGGGTATACTTTGGCCATAAAAGGATGTACATGGGCTCTAACGATACTTGCGTAGGCTGTGCCATTTAATTGATGCTCAGTTTGTACTTTGGGGCCTAAAGTGTGCCAACTAAACATACCAAACACTAACATAATACAACCAGACTGACCAAACCACGATTTCATGTTGTTTAAGCCAAATTCTGATGCTAGCAACCGAAATGTCTGTCTGTCATCTGTAAATGAATGTTTAAATAGCTTTTAAATGTGGTCAATGTGATCATGGTGTAGTTACTTTTTTTATTATTATTAGTAGTAGTAGTAGTGTTACATGCTACATGATAAATATGAGGACTGATAATATGATTAACAGGGTGGAAAGAATCCAGACTCTAAAGTGACAAAGACTTAAAATAAGTCACTGCTAGATTTTTTTATTTTTTTTTTACCATGTCTTGATGGAAAATCTAGGCTCAGAAATGGAGTGTTACTGTGGTAAATTAATAACACGGTTATTCTTTGTTTTTTTCCTGTGCCCACACAGGACAGACGGTGGCATCACTAAAGGAGCTACAATAGGAGTGCTGCTGGACTTTACACGTGGGCTTCTCATCTTCCTCGTGAACGATGAGCAGCAGGGCCCAGTGGCATTCGAAGGCTTGGAGGGCGCTTACTACCCCGCTATCAGCCTCAACCGAAACGTCCAGGTAGAAAATTTCAGTCCATGCATGCACCAAAGTAACTGCAATCATCTGTTTCCAACTGAATTTACTCTCTAACCTTAAACTTCAGTTCATACCGAGGCATAAAGGCAAAAAATTAAGTAAAAATTGATATATTTTTTACATCCAAATACTGCAGAGACTAAATAATGAACTGACTCTGCACGGTATTACAGAAAACAAGTTTATAGTTTTCCTTTCGATTTTAATTTTCTTCTTTCAGTCTTAAATTAGTTCTCATGCTGGGGAAGTGCTCAGCCACTCTGGGGTATGATGTTTAATTTGCTAATTCTGTCTTTTGCCGGAGCGCCGCAACAAACAGAAAGTGAGGATTCTGCTTGTGAATTAATAAAGCATCACATGAGTTCAGTTATTATTCATTACAACTATCTAACTTTTACAAATATGTCCTCGGGAGATTAAATCTTAACAGAGAAAAAGCTTCAAAGAGTCAACATCAGTGAGAAGCTTTGAATTTCTTTTTTTGCTCCCAGTCAGTTTTCTCATTTGTAGTGCTGTATCCAGGAAGCAAAATGCCTCCCAAAGGGAAGAAAAATAGTCTTCAGGCTTTGAAGGAATAGTTCCACAGCTCCCCCTGGAGGAGGAAAAATATATTAAATAGATTTAGTTTAGTAACTCATTTGTGTGTAAATGTGTTTTTCTTTAGGTCACACTGCACACTGGTCTACCCATCCCTGACTTCTACACTCCTGGGGAGGCTGATCCAACTGGCTCAGTGTGCTGAAAACTCAACACCATCCGATTTAAGGAAACCTCCCCAGCTTTCCCGAGGTTCCTCCTGCCAGTCAGAAACTCTTTAATACCCTCGCCAACTTCTTCTTCCCTTCTCCTTCTCTTTTGTTCCTGACCAACTGACCCCAAGCAATCTGGAAGAGGTCCCATCCAGCGCTGAGCCATGCCTTTATCATGCCTAAACCCCAGACTCGTGGTCCATCCTTAGGACACTGTCAGTATGGAGGGTGCTTTGCTGTCTGTACCCTGTATTTTGATATTATGATGTGTTCCAGTTAGTTGAAGAAGAAGATTTCCCAGCTGATGGACTTGGAATGTTTTTAGGAAAGTGTTTATAATGTGGGCTTCAATTAATAGTTTGACATTTTTGGGAAATACACTCATTTGTTTTGCTTTTGTTTTTCCAAGACTTAGATTTGGATTATGGAGCCCATCTTAACATAGCTTATCATAAAGACT